AGATATCGGAGGCTTAGTTGTCCACTAATTGAAACTTTGATATCTTATGATTCATAGTAGCTAAAGATTTGAAACTTGAGGAGAGTATAGATCATGATTAGGGGTTTTTGAGAAAAAAAATTTCATTGCTCAAATCATTAGGATAACAGAGAAACGACACTTTGAAAAAGTGAAAAAATCGCTTTTTTTGACAAAAAGTCGATCATATCTCAGAAACGGAAGGCCATGGGCACGAACGGTTTTAGGGTTTTCTTAGTCTCATCAAGATCTACGTATGGCTAAAAGATGGAGTCAAAAGCGCTGAATCAGTTGGGGCACTTCCCTCGTTAGTTACAAGATTTTCTAGACAAGACTTAGGCGATTTTGGACAAAAATGCTCCTAATTTAGTAAAAATTAAATATCCTGAGAACGAAAAGAATGTCGAAAAAATCATGTTTTTTTCATATCTAAAGGACTGTATTCCTATCAACGTTATTGTCACTGCGTAAATCGCAGTTCTCATTACAATCTTACTAGTAACATTCGCTCTCCCATCGCACCACAGTTCCTATCGGAATTGTCTACTATTCGTTTCGTATGTTCTGTATATATTTCATTATCTTTGGATTCTGTTGGGAACCTACAGGGCCTGTTCTGTGTATCAACACACTGAATACGAGAAAGCATCGAAATTCTATTGTAATAAGATATTAGTTGGTTCCACAATATTTATTTTAATTGTAGAATATCAACTTATTTTTTGCCAGTGTTTCTGTTGTATGGGCTCGACGTTCTTTTTAAAGGATTTATGTTAAGTAAATCTGCCTCGTTTTTATGTATCAAACTTATGAAAACCACTACCAAAAACCTCTTTAAACTACAGTCTATTAGAGAAGTTTGAAAAAACTTCGTAAAAAGTGGCGGAAAACCCTCATTGAAATAGCATAAATAATGACACCAAATAATCGAATGAATACTATGCAATCAGATTTGTCTGAATACTTTTCATCATGCTGATTTATCTGAAATATTGTGTAAGGATCTGCCGGGGTTTGCTATCTGTCTCTACGAGAGAAAAGGGATTGCTTACCCTTATTTCTCTGATCTAGATTTGAACAACTTTCCTTCAAGACAAACACACACGGACGTCCTATGGAATTGGTCTGATTTCGAGTCAAGCGGATAGTTTAAACAATAAATAACGTGAATCGCATCGATTCACTAAGTCCATTGCCTTTAAGTCGAATGCATGTAGTATCGGGAGTACGCCCGTCACACTGCAATATCACTATATGCATGTACGTCGGTCGCATCTCAGTACGGACAAACAGACAAACACACATGCAAACAATTTATTTCGTATGACCATAGACTTACAGTCAATGGAATAAAAAGATTGCTTTTTAGACCAAAATAAAGTGAAAGTGGAAACGAAAACACTTTTGGGGAGCTATGATAAAAGAAGAATACAGAACAAGAGCAAAATGTGTGAAAAGAACTCAAGTTTTAAACACAAAATAGACTTTAGATAGTATTTAGATAATAAACTAACAAAAGGGGAGAAAAAAAATAACTTCACATCTTTGTCAATGTTCATAAAAAGAAATGTGTGTGCTGTTTAATAGTTTGCATATTGTAGTTTTCTTGCATTTATTGGGTTATTTTGCTGAAATGTCGGTTTTCCACGAAATGTACCATCAGTAGGTTATTCCACAGAATAATAGATAGATGAGTAACCTCCGAGTAACTTATTGATCATTTTGACATTTTAATTCATATGTTAACTGAAGTAAAGCTGATGTCGCTAGATTTTTACTTTCATAATCAGCAAGTATTGATTTAAATGTTAGCTTTCCACTATTGCCACAATCCCACGTACCAAGAAGATTACTTGAGGGAAGTTGATAATTATTTTCATTTCCATCGGCTACATATAATAAGGCATTTCGATATGGCAACAAAATATATTGATCTGTAAAATAGATTAAATGATCAGTAAAAAAGTATATAAATGCTCAGTTTAAAGATTGAATGATCAGTACTTAGATTATCGGTAAATAATAAGAAAATGATAAGTTCATTATATGTAGTAGCAGTAAAAATATACAATTTATATCAGTAAAAAAAAGGAACTTGATAATTAAAAACTGCAAATTTGACAAGTAAATAATCTAGATTTTATCAGTAGAAAAAAAAATTATC